GCCCTACTCACTGAGCCACAGGCGCCTCTCTGCCCACAAGATTTTTAAAAATTATGAATCATATTAAGTGGGCAAGTGTAAAACAATGTCTTTTATAAATTATAATTTTAATGTAAACTTTATATTACAATCTTCAGTCACTCACCAAAACAATTTTTTTTTGAGACAGTTTCACTTTGTCACCCTCAGTAGAGTGCTATGATATAGCTCGTAGCAACCTCAAACTCAAGTGATCCTCTTGCCTCAGCCTCCTGAGTAGCTGGGACTATAGACACTTGCTACAATGCCCAGCTGTTTTTAGAGATGGAGGCTGGGGAGGGGGTCTTGCTCTTGCTCAGGCTGGCCTCAAACTTGTGAACTTAAGCATTTGTCTTCTTCAGCCTACCAGAGTAGTAGGATTACAGGAGAGAAATACCACACCCAGCCCTAAATAATTTTTTCATTTAAAAATTAACTTCATTATGTAGCAGTCAAAAAAGACAAAATAAGTTCCTAAATTTGTATGTGGAGGGTGAGAAGGTAGGTGAAAGGAAAGGGATTACATCATCATGAAAGGAGATTATAAATTTTTAAAAGTGGGGAAATGCTAGGTAAAAAGCTAGCTAAAATCCTAATTTAACAATGGCGCATACCCATTAACACTTAAGAAATCATGTTCTATGGTACTGTTTGCATGTGTATGACAGAAGGTTCTGTTAGAACAAATGACAGTTTCCCTGTGACTACTGGGTTCCTTAGGAAAGGGTGCAGAGATCTTTATCTGTAGCCTCAAATTCCTTGTAGGAGGTAGAGAACTATAAAAAAAATTTAAAACCTAGCAGGACACGGTGGCTCATGCCTATAATCTCAGCACTCTGGGAGCTCAGGATTTCAAGACCAGCCTGACCAAGAACGAGACCCCATCTCTACCAAACAAGGAAAACTAGTTGGGCATGGTGGTGGGTGCCTTTAGTCCCAGCTACTTGGGAGGCTGCGGCAGGTGGGTTACTCGAGCATAAGAGTTTGAGGTTGCTCTGAGCTATGATGCCACAGCATCCTACCCAAGGTGACAGAGCAAGATTCTGTCTCAAAGGGACAAAAGGAGACAGTTTTGGTGCCTCGTGCCTGTAATCCCAGCACTCTGGGAGGCTGAGGCAGGAGGATCGCTTAAATTCAGGAGTTTGAGATCAGCTTGAGCAAGAGTGAGACCCTATCTCTACTAAAAATAGGAAAACTACCAGTGCGTTGTGGCAGGTGCCTGTAACCCCAGCTACTCGAGAGGCTGAGGCAGGAGGATCCCTTGAGCCCAGGAGTTTGAGGTTGCTGTGAGCTATGTACGTCACAGCATTCTACCCAGGGCGACAGAGTGAGACTTTGTCTCCAAAAAAAAGAAAAAGAAAAGAAATTTAATATGGAAAAAATACAAATCTAATGTGTCCACTGGAAATTCATCAGGACTCTACAGAAGCAATCTGAAAAAAAGAATGAGGAGGCAGATTTCTCTATCTGAGTTGGTTTTAGAAACAACTCAGTAAGTAAAAGAC